TAGTCGCTGTAAACAATTCATGATGTAATTTTTTCACAACTCGAGAGCAATAAGACTTAAACACTTTTCAGCAAAAACCTTCTTTTGATCTTACTGTTCTTGCGATAAACCCTAGAAATTTCGGATCCCTTAAGTTTTTCTTAACAAATTTTTGGTTGTGCGAGTTTTGGCTCACACACATTGCAGGAAAATTTTTGGAATGAGCTGGGTCGGATTCGGTTCAGAATTGCATTGCAGGAAAAAGTGGGCTTGACTCAACGACAAGCAGCCACGGTCAGGGGCACGGGTTGATGATAGGTCGGTCACGGGTCAAATGGTTGCGACTGCGGCCGATCCTCTTGCGGCCTGACTTCATTTATTCAGTTTTTGCTGGACCGAGCAACTAAAAACTGACACTTCTCTTTGGTTTTTTCGATTTCTTTATTTTTATTTTTGGTATTTTTATTTTATTGGAACACCTGAAACTAAAAGAAAAAGAGAGAACATAAATTGAAAAAGAGAAGGAAAATTAAATAAAAGTGTACCTAAATGGGTTGTCTCAAAATTAAGCGCTCTTGTTTTAAGTCGTTTAGCTTGAATTTTAGTGAAGAGGATCTGGAAAGGGGGTATAACACTTTCTGAGGTGTGCCTTCAACATCCTTGAGCTTTGTTGATTCGACTTCCTCTCCTTGTAGTACCAGATTATTTCCTTTATTCTTCTTACGGAGTTTAACATTTCTCAAGACCTTTTTAGTGCCCTTAATCAGTTTTTGGGTTTGCTCTTCGTTGGTCTCCACTAAATCTGGTGGGACAACAATCTTGACTTTTGCAAAGGGTATCGTCTTGTGATCTGGTTTCTCCTTGTCTTTCCTTTTTTGTCGATTTCTCTTGAGCTTCGTCTTATTATGAACTTTGTCTCGGACAGTGGGGTAGAACTTCTTGCGATCCACATTCAAAAAGACGGCACATCAGTTCGCATGATCATTTACCGCACCTCCAATTTCTAGAAAATGGGTGACCAAAAATGAGGGGTCTCTATTTGTCTTGATCCATCTCAAGAACTTGGAAGTCTATCGGGACAATCTTATTTCCTACAAGAATTTACAGGTCTTGAATCGCCCCTTTGGTATCCTTTTGAGAAGAATCTCTGAAAATAACTTTAACAGTTGACTTCTTGAGTGCCTTTATTCCTAACTTATCAGCAAAGATCTTGGACATGATGTTGAAATTGGGTCCAGAATTGCACAGACAATATGTGAACTTGATTCCTGAAATGAAACATTGGAAAGAGAAACGTTCCGGATCATCGGCGTTGGTGAGCCTTTGAAACAGAGAACGCTGAGATACCTTGAAAGGTGGTTGCTTTGCATCGACATCCTTATAGAGAGACACAAAAATTGAGGTCTCCTTGTCCTCCTTCGGGCAGTGTGGTAATAGCATTGCAGAACCTTTTATGGTTATCCTCAACTCTTCCGAGAAGAGCTCCATTATATCTCTTCACGGAATCTGCTGTCTAGGTTACTTGAACGTCTAGCTTTTTAATGTGGGTGGACAGGGCTTCAAACTTCTCATTTAGATCAGTGTACATACAATCGAGTTTCATGTTTATGTCTTTGGCTGTCTTCTCATTAGTCCTGACAAGTTGCTAAATTGATTGCTCAAGTCTTCCTATTTGTGAGGCGAGTTGGTTGGTGGTGACTCCTTGCTGCTGTCCAAACTGATTATTGAATCCCATACCTTGATAGTTGTATGGTGGACGCGGCTGGAAACCTCCGCTTCCTCCGAAATTCCTGTTTGGAACTTGTTTTGGAATGGTCTCTTCTGCGGTGGGTATTGCTGATCTTGGGGATTCTCTACATTCGGATTTCAGTAAGAGAGATTGTTAAAGTTGGCATTGCGGAAGTTGTTGTTGAAACCATTGTTGAAGCGGTTTGGATATGGTTCTTGTGCTCCTACATAGTTCACGAATTCTTCTTGAAAGGTTGGATTGTTGTGATCGAATTCACAAAATCCTTCATCTTTTACGCTGTTAGTGGTCTCACAGGCATCGTGTTCTTGAGGAGTTGACTCGTCATGTTCTTATGGCTCTTGAAGAGTTGACTCATCATGTTCTTTAGCTCAGTGTTCTCCTGAACTCATATCCAGACAATTGTTGCTATTAATTAGCTTGAGCAAGATTTTTGATGAGAGCTCTTCCTTGTGCGATTGTCTTTTGTCCGAAATCTCCATTGCTGGCTGTGTCAATTGAGAGCTTGTACTTTGGTTTCAATCCTCTATAGAATGTGTTTAGCAGGTTTGATCTGAGAAACCCATGGTGTGGAAAATCACGTTCATACTCCTTAAAACGCTCCCAGGCTTCGTAATAAGATTTGACTGGTCCTTGCTGGAAACTTTGGATTTTGTATCTCAGCAGGTTCGACCTTGACTTAGTATAGAAGTGGTTTAGGAAATCGTTTTTACATTCTTCCCAATTAGTAATCAATCGCGCAGGCAAAGATTTTAACCAACGGTTAGCTTTATCACTTAAGATAATCTGCGGGAACTTGGTTTGTTCTCATCATGCTGCAGATTTCTTCAAAGAGCTCAATGTGATCCATTGGATGTTCAGAAAGGACTCCATGAAATTGGTTTTGTTTCACCAAAGAGATTATCTAAGGTTGACTTTGAACTCATTCCAGTTTGGGAATGGTACTTGAATCGCAGATCGATGATAACACTGGATTTTGAACATTTTTATCGATCACTTTAATATCTTTTCGGATCTCCATTTCCAATGGTTTTCAAAGGATTTCTATGTTTTTGGATCTTAAAAGATTTTTCAAGTAATTTGGGAGAAAATGTGCAAATTGGAACAAAAAGACTCTTTTGAATAAAATTCAGACCGTCAGAACTATCAAGGAGAGACGAATACCTTCTCACCGTCTTATCACCCCCAAAATTGGACACTTCATAGAAGACTCAACCAGCTTTCAAATGCAATTGGGTTGGAGACATTCCCACAGTTGGATCTCAATATATTCCATTTTCCCTGGAGACATTTGAAGATGGCCAACAAGCTACGAGACCGCAGCCAACAAGCCATTTACCATGGCCAGGGCTGTGCAACCGCGGTCAAGCATCCATTCACCATGGTCACGCATCATGCGACCGTGGCCAGCCATCTCCAACTTAAGAAGCCTGTTTCTGAAGCCCACGTCATTTTCCAGCCTCAATTCCAAAACCTTGATGCCCTGGAGTATTGAAGACTATAAATACTTGTTATTTAGGTCGTTTTTAGATATCTCTTCCATACTTTTTACAGAGACAACTTTTCTTAGCCGTTTTAGCGATTTGTAGAGAAGATTCCTCAACCTTGAGTTTATTAATAGAGAAGCTTTCTTTCATCTCTTTTCTTTACTATTTTTAATTGCTTTCATTAAAACTTAATGATGTTGTCGACCTCAGGTATGTCTGAGTAGATCCCGAGTTGGGCATAGAGTTCCCGAAAGGGGCTCTCATAATTGAATAAGATATCTAGGTTTTTAGATCTGGAATTTTTTTTTTATTTTCTTTGTTTATTCTTGTTCTTAATGCGTATATGCTTGATTGATCACCTCGTGTCTGATCTAGATAGTTATTGTTGCGAAAGTTTTCATTAAGTATCGACCTAGAATGAAACGGGCGATTCTGCCATAGGAGTGGAAACCAACCTATGGGTGAGTCGTGAGTATTGACGAGTCCAATACAAGTTCTTGTGTTTTCTCCCTTCCAGGGCCAGAGTGGAAACCTAGTGGTCATGGTTGCGAGAGACAGTTGGTTATGATTACGACAGTGACGTAGTCATACTGCTGTACTCTAGCTCTAGAACCCTAGATATTTCGATACCGAATAATCCAAATCTATAGCCTTAGTTATTAAAACCGATTATGATCCCAATAGAGCTCCCGAAAGTCCACTGTTTTTGATTACTGTTTACAACCAAATCGATTCGTACTTGTTTTCTTAAAACCGCATTTTTACTTTATTTTTTGATACTCTGCTTGCTTCATTTTTCTTTCATTCGATTGTTTACTTGCTTTCTAGGATATATTTATTTGCTTTTTTAATTATTTAAATCGTGATACACACCCACCTCTTAAAACCTGATTTAGTCTAGACATAAAGTTATAAACCATAGAAAAATATTCGGCACACAAATCCCTGTTTGCGGCTTTCATTTGTTTCTTTTAGTATAAAACTTGAGACCCTCACCGCACACCACATCAAGTTTTTGGCGCCATTGTCGGGGATTTGTTTCATTGCCTTTTAATTTTTCTTGTTCTAATTTCTATTCTAGACACCTGATCTCTAGTTTCTTTTTAAGTTTCTGAATTCTCTTTCTCTTCTTTTTTTTCTCTGTTTTTAGGGAAGTGCATGAATACCAAGCGCCAACCTGCAGCAAATATTCCGATTCTAGACAAGATTGACAGACACGAAAGAGAACTTCGAAGACTTAGACGAACGCAAGGAATGGCCGATGACGACCAACCTGGAATGAAGACCATGATGGATCTAATCATGGAGATGACCGAGAGGCTGATCATAGAGGAGATGATCTACCTCAACCCGATGGAAATGGAACCCAATTCCTCCAAGAAACCCTCAAAACCGCGATGATGTAGACCCAAGAAGGGAAGAACGTGCAGACCTTGATGCACCAATCAACGCTGATGAAGATGAGAACCAAGGATTGCAACCGAATGGACGCAATAAACGCCCCATTCAACCTGCAAATTAACACCGAAGACAAGCCCAAAATCATCGCATAGCCGACTTTGACGCACCAACTCAGAACTTTCAAAATCAATATGCGATTTAAGTACCATTCCCGAACCAGAATGAGTTCGAAGTCAAGCCTCAGATAATCTCTTGGTGAAAGAAAATCAATTCCATGGAGTCCCTTCTGAACATCCAATGGATCATATTGAGATTTTTGAAGAAATCTGCAGTATGATGAGGACATACCAAGTTCCAGCAGATTATCGTAAGTATAAGCTTTTCCCATTTTTATTAAGTGATAAAACTCACTGTTGGTTGAAATATTTTCCTGCAGGATCAATTACTTACTGGGAAGAATGCATTCCTAAACAACTTCTATACTAAGTCAAGGTCGAACCTGCTGAGAAACAAGATCCAAAGTTTCCAGCAAGGTCCGGTCAAATCTTTTTATGAAGTCTGGGAGTGTTTTAAGGAGTATGAACGTGATTGTCCACACCACGGATTTCTTGGATCAAGATTGTTAAGCACATTCTATAGAGGATTGCAACCAAAGTACAAACTCTCACTTGACACAGCTTGCAATGGAGATTTCAGACAAAACACAATCGCACAAGGAAGAGCTCTCATCGAAAATCTTGCTCAAGCTAATAACAATGATTGTCTGGAGTATGATCGTTCAACAAAGCCGACCAGAGCAGACAACAAGGAGATTACCGAGGTGAAGAACATGATAAACCAACTTATCAAGAGCCATAATCGCCATGTCCATGCTTGTGAAACCACCAATGGTGTAGAAGATGAAGGATTTTGTGAGACCATTCACAACAATACGGCCTTTCAAGAAGAAAACGTGAACTATGTAGGAGCACATGGACCATATCCGAACAGTTTCAATAATGGTTTCAACAACAGCTACCGAAATGCCAACTTCAACAATCTCTCTTACAGAAATCCTAATGTAGAGAATCCCGAAGATCAGCATTACCAACCGCAGCAAAAACCATTCCAAAACGGGAATTTCGAAGGAAACAGAGGCTTCCAATCGCGACCACAATACAATTCCCAAGGTGCGGGATTCAACAATCAATTCGGACAGCAAAAAGGAGTCTGAAACGATCATGGACCCAGAGCATGATCCAGATAAAGAATTCGAGGTTCCGGAAGCCCACTTGGCTGTACCAGAAGGACCCATGACGCGATCCAAGGCTACGAAGCTGGCAGGGGCGGTTCAAGCTGTGCCTAAAGGGATCAAGGACGGACCACGCGACCCAGCATCACCCAAGATTGTGACCGTGCTCACGAACGCCGGCTATAGCTAATCTGGTCCGGTGATGGCTTAATACTCTTTTTCCTTACACCCGGGTTTGTTCCAATGGGTTTACCGGGTGGGGTTTTAACGAGGTTAAGTCCATTGCCCATCTCTCGACCTAGGTTCGTTTACGGTCTGATTCATGGGATGGAAGCTTAGGAGTCATTTTCGGCTAAGAAGTTCAAGAGTCGGTCAAGGGCCAGCCGAAGAGTCATTCAAACGTTTTCTTTATTTCCGTAAAAACATATATGTCTTTAGTTATTTTCTAAGCATGGGTCGTCGCCTGCTTTCTCTTCTATTTAAGCGCAATGTACTTTCATTCAGGGACTCATTCACTTTCATCTTAATAAAATTTCGAGATTTTCTCTTTGTTCTTTTGAGAACTGTTTTTCGATTCTTAAGTGGTCAGCCTCTTGAATCTTTTCTTTCGGTTTATTGAGTTCTTCTCATCAAACTCAACGCAGCCTTCAATCCATCTAGTTAAGTATTTGTTCAAGTAGATTTAGGGGCATCAGGATTTTCGGGAACCTTGTTCTCACGCCTGATCATCTTAGATCCGTGATAACACTGGATTTTGACCATTTTTATGGATCACTTTAATGTCTTTTACAGGTGTTTTTACTCCATTTTCAAAGGTTTTCAAAGGATTTCTATGTTTTCAGATTTTAAAAGACTTTTCAGGTAATTTGGGATAAAGAGGCATAAATTGGAATAAAAAGACTCTTTTGGATAAATGCAGACAATCAAAACTCTCATAGAGAGACGAAGACCTTCTAACCGTCTGATCACCCTCAAAATTGGACAACTTATAAAAGAATCAACCATCTTTCAAATGCACTTGGTTTGGAGACATTCCAACGGTTGGATCTCAAGATATTCCATTTGCCCCAGAGACAATCGAAGACGGCCAGCAAGTCACGCGACCGCGGTCACAAGCTTCACGACCGCGGCCAAGCCTCTGTTTCCTGCGGTCACATTACTTTCGACCGCGGCCGGCCAACTCCGATTAAAAGCCCATATTTCTGAAGCCCAAATTCATTTCTCTGCCTCAATTCCGTAACCCTTGATATATTCATAAATTGCATCATTTAGTGTACATATTTTAGTCCAAATCATGTCTTATCTCATGCATTTTAGGTCTTTAGGCATTGTTTTAGGACTTAGGAGATTGCATTAGGTTCAAGAGAGTTTTGCATGGTTTGGAGTGTTAAACAGGTGCTTTTGGAGCTTATTTAGAGTGGAGGATGTGATTCAGATGAAGAAATGGAGTTGAAATTATCAAAAATGGTGAAAATGAGCAATTTTGGGTTTCTCGGCAAAATGATGTACTGATGGCCGAAGATTCTCGGCCAAAATCCTTCCCGCGGGTT